AAGGCCTGGTTTGATGGTGTATTTGCTGTTGGTGAGGTTGGGCCCCTTGTGACTTTAGGTTGTGGTGGGGTTGTTGAAGCTTCTTGTGTTGGGTTTCTGCTGCCCGCCTCAATTTAATCCAGAGGGCCAAGCTAAAACTTTGTGATGGTAGTGGTTTTAACTTGTGATGTTTTAGATGCTGTAGCTTGGGTGAAGTGGCCTGAAAACGGGTGAAGATATTGACGCGCGCGTTGGGACATTCGTGGTCTCGGTTTTGGGACAACTTTATTTCGAGTGGGGGTGCCCAACCTAATCACTCAGGCAATATTGGCCAGGTTGGCTTTGTCCACTTTATGCTGTTTTCATATGTTTTCACCAGAAGGAACTTTATTTGTATTTCTGGTTTAGGACCCCATACCCATGTTGTCAACAGATCTTTGCCAGGATAGGCCCCGAGAACTTTATTTTATTTTTTCAGGGTGCCTAGGGAACCTGGTGATAACAGAGGAGTATGCTAAGCGACGTGCATTGCGAAGAGCGACTGAGGATGGCCTTCAACATCTCCAAGGGCATTGTTGGTGAAGGCATCCTTAGCCTGCCCGCCGGCATTGCCGCAGGCACCGGCATTGTGCCGGCTTTGGTGGTCATGACGGCTTTTTGTGTGGCTCCTTGGCCTCAAACTTTCGAAAATAGCCGGAGTTGAAACCTGCATTGCTGGGTCAAATCCCAGGCGTGGCCTCCCCAATGCTCAGTTTCCTTGGGGGGTGGTCTATATTTCCTGACGTACCTGTTGCCGTCGCAACTTCGTGACAGCTCCATCCATTTTCGCAAATGGTCATGATGGGTGTCACTCCCTTCATGCCGATATTTGTTTGGGTCCCGAGGTGATGATGTACTCCTTCTGGTCCATCGGCCGCTGTTGTGAAGCCACGGGCGGCAAGACCCATGGCGATGTGGGCATGGCCGTGTTGGAGCGCGGTGGCCGGTGCTTCGGTGGGACGATGGAGGCGCATGTGCGGTGCTTCGGTGGGACGATGTTGGTTTCTGCCAAGGCAACGCGCGTGGAGTCTCATACGACAAGAAGCCACGGCCCAAGGCCATGGGCATAGGGCGTAGGGCATAGGGCAAAGGGCATAGGCCAAGGTCTGGACAAGTGCCCAGGCATGAAAGGGCCAAATGGATCACGCTTCGCCTCGGTCACGCTACGCGATGTCGGCCTACGCGGTCTCCCTTTCGAGGTCGCCGCGGTCGGGCGTCGCGCCTCGGGTCGGTGCTTAGAGAGGTGATCAACCTCTTGAAGACCACGATGACTTGCGCGGCCTACGCCCTGGTGATTGGCAAGAACAGCGCCGACGTGTGGACGGCTTTGGAGCTCCACGGCTGGTACAGCGAAATGGTTTCAAGTGCACGCACCACTTCTACATAGCCAAGAAAGAACCCACATGTTTCTGGGAGCCGAGGAGGGAGTTTCCTGACGGTCTTGGTGGTGATTCTGTTGCCCCTCTGCCTGCTGCGGGACTTGTCCAAGCTGGCAATCTCCAGTTTTTTCGGCCTTGTCTGTGCCGCTGAGAGCAGTGGTGGGAGTTGCCCTGGGGCCGCCGTGGGTGGAACAAAACCCACATCGCCCTGGGGTGGAGCAAAAACCCGTTTGCAGGGCATTGGTGGGGAGAAGGGTCATGATTGATTGAAGCGCATGAGACACCAAGTGGTCCGAAGCAAACACCCACGGAGGTAAGAATACGGAACCCCTGAACATTTCAATTTTCATCCCGTTTCCGCTTTGGAGTCGGGGCGGAGAGCCGATCGAGGAAGATTTTGCATGTTTGACCAGGCGGCAAGCCTTCTAATTGAACATGGAGCCAGAACCTCAAAAGCCACCGGGTTGGTATGGGTCTGGGTCGGTGTTCGGAACATGGTCGACACCACGGAAATCAACACCTTCTCAGGATCAACGTGGTGCGTGGGCGGAGCGGGTATCGTTTTGGCGGAGCCGGGTTGACTTCGGATTTGGCACCAGCTGGCATGTCCGAGCCCAGGAAGCCGGCGTGGTGGTCTTCATGACCGTCCGCTTGGTGACGGGCGAATACGCGCCGGGAGGCGAGTTCTACAACAGCCAGGTGAGGGACGATGTGTTCATCCGACAGTTCTTCGTTGGGCGCGAGTGTCTCCTCTTGCGGCGACGGCCCTGCGGTGTCCTAGAGGGCGGACCACAAGAAGACCAGGGCAGCGCCACTGAGCACCTAATGGATCCCGATGGGTCCTTCCCACGACCCCTAGGGAGGTGAACTCAAGGCTAGGGGCAAGGGAGTTCCCAAGCACCGACTTTTTGGCGCCGAAGCCACGAAAAGTACGTGGTCTTCTTGTGTTTGGACTCGTTCCATCTCCGGGTTTCCTTCGGGGGCCGAGCGGCCGGGGCAGAGGCACCGGGCACCCAACTCAGTTGGGGCGACGGCGAGGGCCCGGACATGCTCGCATTCGACTGGAGCGTCTTCGTGCTGATGCTGGGCCGCACCGAGAACCGTTGGACCGGTCTCAGGGAGGAAGCATGTGGAGGGTGGGAGAGTAGTGGTGCTGATGCTTCAAGTGGTCCATCCGATGGGCATCGGTCCTGGATCGGTAGAATGGATCGGTGGACGGATCGGCTCTCCCCAAGAAGGCGAAGGCAGAAGCAGCGAAGCGCATGAAGAAAAGGACTTGGGGGGGCAGAAACCATTGCTCCTGGCCCGCAAATCTTTGAGCTTCACGCCTTTTTTAAATACATTCTTCATGCATCTTCATGCGGGACGGTGACCCCCTGTCCAATGTTTGGCCACTCCAAGTCCTAGTCCAGTGCAGTTGGTTTTTGTTGCATTTCAGAGGCATGCCAAGCTAAGCGGAACTTAGAGTTTCTTCTTTATTTTTCCTGGTCACTTGGTGCCATTTGATGTGCATCAACCCTTTGTCCGGTCTCGACCCCCTTGTCCCTGGTCCTCCGCCGCAATCGGGTCGCGAGGATCGGGAGCATGTCGACGGCCTTTCTGGCGCACTACAACGCGCCCAAGAGCCATGGTCGAGATTTGGGAGCGTAGAGGATCTAGACTCGAACTAGGAACGGCGCAACTCAGCTGCAAAACCGAGGTTTCGGGGGTGGAAACATGAAGGACCATGAATCAAAAAGTGGAAAAGTGGAGTAAACAGCTTGTAAAAAAAACGAGCAGGTACACAGATTGGCGTCCCAATCTGCTTCACGGAATGTCCACAGCTGTCTTCGTTGGCAGCAGAACTGTGGATTCCCTGCTGCCCCCCTGCTTATGTGATAAGTGGGAGCGAGTGGAAAACCCTTAGAAACAGGGTGTGACACACACACGGTGCCGCTTCGCGGCGCTAGTGTGAGAGGCCTAAATAGACACCTAAAAAGCCTTAGAAGCGAAAGGAAAGAAAGACAGAAAGAGCAGCGCTAAGAGGGCAAGAAAGAAAGGTAGGTGTAGAAAAAGTGAATACTTAGCCCTTGACTGGGGTAGGGAAACAAGCCTCAAGAGCGACCTAAAAAGCCTGAGAGAAAGCCCAACAAACGAAGAAAAGCGCAAGAAGGAAAGTGGGGGGCAGGGAGGGGGGTGTATGTCCGTGTGTGTGTATGAATACTTAGCCCTCTAGAATTACTGAATACTTAGCGGACACGAATTAAATGCAGTAGTTAGGGAGCGGGACTTTAGTCTTAAGCCGCCCGGGTAGAGAAGACTAGAACAGGAACAACACAGGGAAAGGTACCGACACACAAGTGTGTCGAGTACCATTTCCCTATGTTGCCCTAATTAGGTGGGGAGTAGAACTCGGCTGGGGGGGGGGGTTGGGAAACCTGCCTGAGTGCGGGTGGAATACCGTTTTATAGCCCGGCGGCTCTGGATTCTGTGGTTGAGTGGATTCCGTCGCTTATAGCCCGGCGGCTCGAAAATCAGTTAATTCAGGGATAAAGTTGAACAAACGGAAAGGCAGTTATAAAAGTGGAAGGTCGGTGATTTCCAGTATGAATTCAGCGCCTCCTTTCGGAGGGTCACACCCAGTACCCAAGTGGGAAGACTGAGCGGTCCACACTTCGAACTTGGGTTTTCAGTTAGACTCAATTGCCACGTTGGGAAGGAAGGCGATGGAACAGCATGGTGAAAAGTCCGATAACTTGTAGGTGTTTGAACATCGATTGTTTCACTTGACTCAGCTGCACATCTGCGGTGGTGAACGAACGGCGCAACTCAGCTGCAAAACCGAGGTTTCGGGGGTGGAAACATGAAGGACCATGAATCAAAAAGTGGAAAAGTGGAGTAAACAGCTTGTAAAAAAAACGAGCAGGTACACAGATTGGCGTCCCAATCTGCTTCACGGAATGTCCACAGCTGTCTTCGTTGGCAGCAGAACTGTGGATTCCCTGCTGCCCCCCTGCTTATGTGATAAGTGGGAGCGAGTGGAAAACCCTTAGAAACAGGGTGTGACACACACACACACAAAAAAAACACATATTGTGTGACAGTCTTCGCTTGAAGGGCAATTCGATTGCCGATGGCCCCTATTTTTTTTGCAGACGGGCCGATGGCCCCTTTGTTGGCCAACCTGGAAGGTGGAAGGTCGTTTGCGGCAAACGGTGGACTGTTTCTCGGGGTCCAAGTTGCCCATTCCAAATTTTGGATCACACCAACCACCCAAATGATGTTTCTTCCTTATCAAAAAGCCGGCACCGCCGTGTTCTTTCATGAGGTTCTACCACCAGTTGCATGGACGGAGTTCGCGCAGCTTCCTCCGGGCGGGGGGCCCCGCAGGAACATCGGCCGCGAGCCGGGGCGCGGTCACTGGGGAAGCTTGTGTGCCGAACTTCCTTGCCTCGAAGCTTCAAGGGGGTGATTGATTAATCTTTGCCTGAGCCTTTGGAAGATGCAAAGGTCTTGGTTTTGTGGGTCAGGTCTTGACCCGGCCATGTGACAAATGGCACTCACGTGTGGATTGTGAGAGCCTTGAGCCAGCCAAGTTGGCTGAGGTGGCAGCTGAGTGTGGTTCAAAAAGGGTATATGAAATTGATTTCCAACTTTCCAACCGTTATATAGTGACTTCAAAGTAGATGGCTCAAGTGCTTCCTAATTCCGGATTCTCCTCTAAAGTCTTCAGTAACATGGTTGTCCATGCAACCTTTCGTTGGCTGGAGCTTGTTTTTGATTTGCTTGGCTGGAGCTTGTTCTTGCGCTCCCCTTGAAAATTCCCCCGTCAAACGGGGAAAGCACGCGGATCCTCCATGAGTCCAGGCCACCGCTGGGGGCTATAGCATCGCCGTGCTCCTCTTTGCGACCTGCATGAT